CTGAAGGACATATGGAGAATGTAAAACTTGTTTGTTTTGTGCATTTTCAGGACAAAAATGACCTGTGTAGGAAAACCAGATAAAACAAGGTTAACCTACAACAAGAGTTTTTAAAAGTTTTTCAAAGAAATCTGCATGTTTTTTCACACCTCCAAGGTTCAGTCTTAAAAGTTGGTTGCGTTTTCTGTCCACATCCTGACATCATGTAATAACAAGTAATAAGTATACAATTTCTCCAGCTTTTGTAGAGGCACTGATGGGAGATCGTATAGTAAAGTGTGTGTGGAGTGTACTACAGTTTGGAAATTTGGAGGTCTACTTATAAGAACCATAATGTACATTCAGTGGTGATGCAGACTAGAGTACAATGCAATGCATAAAAATTCAGTTTATGCAATTATGTGTTACCACCAGTTGCCTGTGTTATGCACAGGAATTCTGATGAAATATACAAATTTCATAAATGTCATGAGATTTCAATCCTGTAGACTCTTGTGGCTCCTACAGAAATAAAACATCTATTTATGGCTACAAGTCACCGGGGCACAGTCTATCACAGTTATCCCATACACACACACAACGCAGAGCAAAAGAGCACAGCACTGCTGGAATGACAGTGTGTGTGTGCATGTGCGTATCAGTGTGTCTTGACATCTATTTAAGTGGTATGTGTATGTCCACTAAAAAAAGGGTGCATTGAATGTACTGGATTCAATAATTGTGTTTCTGTGATATATTTTATTCACTTGGACATGATGCACACTTTTGAAGCATGTAAATTCAATGCAGCAAGCTTGGGCACCCCTGCTCAAATAACACAGTTGGGGGTGTTCAAACGTTTGCATATGACTGTATGTGTGTGTGTGCACTGCTGGATGTATATGCGTTAGGGATGAAACAGTACACATATTTTTGGGTTTGACACAATTTTAGATTCTGACGTCATTATTGTTAAAATAATATTAAATATGTCTCAATTGTACAAAGTTCAGTCTTGGAAGTCGGTTGCATTTTCTTCATTCTGAGCCCACATCCTGACATTGTACAATTAAAACATATACAATTTTCCAAGCTTTTATAGAGGCATCTACAGGTGATTGTTGTATATGAAAATGTGTGTGTAGGTGTATTACTGTTTAGAAATTAGGAGGCCTACTTAGAAGAACCATGAAGTACACTCCTTGGTGTTGCACACTAGAATACAATGCAATACATACAAATGTGAGCGGGCTTGTTAAAACTTTTGCATGCAACTGTATGTTTGTATATTGTGTTTGCACTCATTTAGGGTCGATTCTGGCATCAATGTTGTCAAAATAATGTTAAAAATGTCTTGATTATGCAAAGTTCAGTCTTAGAAGTGGGTTGCATTTTCTGCCCACATCCTGACATCATGTACCGTAGCTAGACTGGTTCAGCTCACAAAAATACCTAAAAACAAAAGAATTCATGTCCTTATGTAAAACATAAGGACAAATCTTATAAAAGAGTGGAAATAAGCTATAAACAATATAAAAACCTGAACTGGCATGACATTTCCGATATGCCAAAATTGTAAAATCAACATTAAACTAAAATGTGACTGTCTGACACTAACATAACTATATATTGTTGCAGTGTTTTGAAAGGTTCACCTCTTTTTTCTACACTATTGTATTGTGTTATTATGTTGTTTATGTGAAGCACCACTCTTCCATAGCACACCTGGTGCTTGTTTAGCATGAATTTCCACAGATTCGCTAGTAAAGCATGGAATAATCCAGCAAGTTAAATGGGAATTTGTATAATTCAGTCATTGAGATTTAAAATGTTTTATCTGGTGTGAAACAGTTAGGATTTTCTATACAGTGGTGGTGATAGGAACCAGGGGTCACAATGTCACCAACACAAATACAACCATTTTATTTACTATCAGAAATGACCAGTGAAGCTGAATGTGTTTTATATAATTTTATATGTTATAATAAAAACAGTGGTCAGTCTTTGGTCTGAGGTTTTCTTTGGGGGACTATTTTGCCTTACCACACCCTGCATGTACCTCTCCGCCAGGAAGAGACATTAAAAAATATGTTTTAGGCCAAAACTAATATCACAAATCTATTGTAAAGCAATATCTCAGGCATCATGCAGCGTATCTGTAATAGTTTTCTGTGTAATAGTTTTCTGTGGGGTAGCTTTTAGAAGCATTAAACACTCCGATGTCTGGTTCCTATCACCACTACTGTGAACAATTCTGACATTACATATAAAAACTCAGATAATAGGTGTAGGTTCACTGGTTAGGACTGTAAATGAAGTGGCTATATTTGCACTGTAGACGTTGCGATCCCTGTTTCCTATTACCACTGTAAAGAAGTAAGAATCAAAACATTTCTCTAGAATGGGGCATTTTACATCAAAACACTCACTGAGTGACTGTTTAAATCTTAACAATTTAAATGTGCAGATTTTTTTAAATATCAGTGGAATTCCCATTTAATTGGTGTTTTATACATAATATAGTATAGTATAATTATGAACAAATGCCAGCCACGTATTTCAGTAACTGTTATAGAATTGAAAAAATAGAATAACCATGTGCTTTCCTACCATGTAATCCCATTCATTTGTGAGGCACCCTCAGTGATTTGGTTCTGGGCCTAGTCTGAGGGCATATCACTGATGTAGTTTTATATTTCAATATTGTTTTGTTCACTTTTATATTTTTGATACATTATTGAATCCTTATACCCTAAATGTATGTGTGTACTTGTATGCAGGTGTTTTATCCAGTTATAAATTGCTGGACAAGCTTTAATGAAAAGCCTGTGCAGACTTTAAATCTCTTGATTTTTTCACTTCAGCTCCAGCTTGCTTGTTTCTGAATAGGCTTGGCTTCCTTTGCCTCTTAATTAAATGAGACCGAATTAACATCATTTGGAAATGAACTGAGGGACATATGCAAAACAAAAATCTGTAAATTGGATTAACTGGTAGCCGCTCATGAGATATCTCCATCAAACACCACGTGCTTATTTGTATATGCTAGTGTGTTTGTGTGTGTGTGTGCTCGGGGCAGCCCTTCATATTAGATTAGACTGGTGCATAACCAGCTTGTGCGCTGTGTCCTATTAATTTAAGAGAAACGGGAGAGATGTCACGTGACTGCCTGCTGTGTGAGGCGTGCGAGCGGGGGCTATCTGCATGCTAGGATGTTCACCTGTTGATTAAAGGGGAAATCCATTGGTTTACTAGCATTTCTGCATAATTAAGCTATTAAGATGTAAACAAAATCATTCAGAGTGGTTTGATGTGAAATAGTTAACTGTAGAGAAACTTACAGACACAGATTTTTTTACAGTGGTGGTGATAGAAACCAGGGGTCACAATGTCTACAGCATAAATACAGCCATTTAACTACTATCTAAAACCTCCAGTAAACCCAAATGTGTCTCCTGTGTTTTTAAATTGAATGTTGATAATGGTCAAACATTGGTAAATCTGGAGAAAAAAAAACACATTTTGCTTATCCAAAGCTTATTTAAATACTATTTTAAAACAATGTCTCAGACATCAGGCGATCTATTGGTAACCATTTCATTTACCAGCTCGTAGGAGGGAGCTTTTAGAGGCTCAATGCTCAATGCTTAGGACGTCTGGTTCCTATCACAACCACTGTGAACAATTCTGATTCTAGAATGCCCTAGTTCACCTCAGACCACTCTAACTTAATTACTTGCCATTTCAATGACTGAACTATGCACAAAAAAAAAAAATACCCTGTAGCTTCGCCGTTTGTGTTGACATCTTTGCTGGAGGAGGTACAGTCTGTAAAAAGTTAAGAATGGTTGGAATTCGTGAAATAATGAAGCAGCGAACAGGGCGACGGGGCTGAGGCCTGGCGGTGTCAGTGCTAGGCTAACCTCTGGCGCTCGGTAATGAAACCCGTGTTTCCGTCGTTAGTACCGCGCGCTTAAACGGGCCGCAGATGTCGCTCGTTAAATTTTCTGTTCGTGTTTTGTACATTAATTAATCCTAATCAGGCCGGAATTCACCGCTCGCACGTAGCACAATCAGCGCCTCCGTTTAAACCACGAGCAACTCGAATGAACACTACGTATGTCTGTCTCTCTCTTTCTCTCTCTCGGTGTCTCTCTCTCTCCGTCTCGGTTCTCTTCCATCTTCGTCTCTCTCTCTCTCTCTCTTTCTCTCTCTCTCTCTCTCTCACTTTCTTCTCTTCCATCTTCATCTGTCTCTCTCTCTCGCTTGTTTCTCTCGTGCTTGTCTCTTTCACCCGTTCTCTCTCCCTCCTTTTCTCTCTCTTTCACTCTCTCTCTCACATTCTTCTTTTCCATTGTCATCTCTATCTCTCTCTCATTTGTTTCTCTCGTGTCGTGCTCGTCTCTTCCACCTTCTCTTTCTCCCTCTTCTCTTTCTTTTCACCTCTCCGTCTACTCTTTCTCATCTTTTTCTTTTCTACCACTATCTCCTTTTCTCTTTTTCTCTCCTTCTGTCACTTTCTGCCATCTTGCTTTCGCTTTCTTTTCGATCTTCCTCACATTTCCCTTTCTCTCTCTCTCCCTCTCTCCCTCTCTCTCAGTGTTTTTATGGCGCGGTCAGTTTTGATTTCTCTTTAATAAGGTCAGTAATAATCGCACTCGGGCGCAGCGGAGGAGAAAACAGGTCCCGGAGCTTTTTTCTCTCTCTCTCTCTCTCTCTCTCTCTCCGTGTTTATCAGGCGGCGCGCGCTCTGTCCCGCGGGAGCCGCTCATCCGCGCTAATAAAGCGCTCTCGCTGCGGGCCAGGCGTGGCGGGAAATTAATTTTTATCTAATTATACTGATGGGGCCTGAGCGTTTTATTTTTCACATTGTAATTAAAATCTGACCCGGAAGCTTCCTTTTAATTCTTAAGGGAAGAGAGACAAATAGGGGGGTTAAGCGAATAAAAAATAAACACAGTGTTTTCTGTTTGCTTTGCTTATGTTTTTTTTCTTTTCTCTCCTGTCATTTGTGGCTGCAGAGGACAGTGCAGAAGAACGCCAAGTACGTGTGTCTGGCCAGTAAAAACTGCCCTGTGGACAAAAGGAGACGGAACCGCTGTCAGTACTGCCGCTTCCAGAAGTGTCTGAGTGTGGGCATGGTGAAGGAAGGTAGGATATCTCAGACACATACACGCTTGTATTCCTGCCTTTGTTAGGTGTTTACACTGACTTCTGGACTACTGTAGTGAAGTACTACATAAATAAGTACTAGCTACACTTAACCCTGCATCTGGGTTCTTCAAGGGTTCTTTATAAAGGCAACGGTTATGTGGATCTCTTTTTGGTGCTAAATAGAAGCATTTTAAAAAGTTCTTTAAAAAGCCATGTTCACCAGTTTCTCCATCATAGAAAAGAACCTAGCAAATAACCATTTAAAAATTATTTGAGTTGTCATGGTTCTATATAACCATTGCCTTTACTAAAGAACCAATTTTAAAGGGCGCACTTTTAAAAATTAAAGATGAAGAGTTTTTGTGCAATACCACATAGAATAACCACTTACGTTTCCTAGAGAGTCTTTCAGTAGGTGGTTCTTGGAAGAACCATTGTTGTAAATGAGGTGTGTGAGTGTCAAATTTTAAAGCTGAAAGAAATTCTAAACAAGGAAACTTAAACTGGTAAAGAACAATTATGTCAAAGTTTTTTAAGCCTTGGAAAAGTTCTTAAAAAATCTCTTTTTAAACATGGTTCTTTAGGGAACCATGGCAGCACTCAGAGAACCTTTTGGGGCACCGTTTTTAGAGTGTGTATAGAACAATGAGAACTCAAAGAACCTTATGAATGTTTAAATGATTCTTTGTATGTTGTGTATGGTTCTTTCAAGAACCTTATAAAATGCTTTACAGCACCAAAAAGGGTGCAACTATTCATAAGGTCAGATAACCTTTTTTGGTGCTGTATAGAATATTTTTTTTAAGTGTGTACAACTAGCTTTAAGATCAAAAACCCACGAAAAACATTTGGTTCGTTTAATTTTTTAAATAAAAAAATTTTTTGTTATGTTTATTAGGACTAGCCAAATGTCCCCACAACGGCAGAATGTCCAGTGTTTTCCTGTTAGTATCCTCAGTGCACTGAGTCCCCACAAAGTACAGTATATGAACACATGGCCACACACAAGTTTGTATTTCTATCTATATAGGATATTTCCATTGACTTCTATTATTGTAGTTAAATGTGTGCTGACTGATAAGTGTTGATGTGCTACATCTAAGTAAACCTTACCCTTAACCTCAAGAGCCAAAAGAAAATCTTTAAATTGCTCTACTGCAGCTTTTCTTTGTGGCGAACAGTCAAATGTTCCCACAATGTCAGAATATTTGTTTTCTTGCTAGCATCCAGAATACACTATTTCCCGCAATGCACTATACATGAATGCATAGCCACACACACAAGTGCATTTTTGTGAAATAAATACATAAATAAACAAACATTTTTCATCATGGGGACCAGTCAAGTGTCTCCACAATGCACAATGTCCATCCTTTCCTGTCAGCGTTGTAGGTACACTAGGTCCCCACAATAAGATAAACATGAATGCGTAGCTGCACATACAAGTGCATTTTTGTTCAGTAATACAAGTGAGTATATTTCCTTATGCAGAGCTGTCAAATGTCCCCCTAATGTCAGAATACTTATGTTTTCCTGTCAGCATCCTGGGTACAACAGGTCCCCACAATGAGCTAAACAAGAACTGATCTGCACACACACATGCATTTTTGTTAAATAAATAAATAAATGAATAAATAAATGAACAAATAAAAAAAAATCCCCATGGGGACCAGCCAAATGTCTCTGTAATGTCTGACTGTCTGTATTTTCCTGTCAGCATCCTGGGTACACTAGGTCCCCATAATGAGCTAAACAAGAACACATCTGCACACACACATGCACTTTTGTTAAATATACAAACAAGCAAACAAACAAACATTTCTCTTTATGGGAACCAACCAAATGTCCCCACAAGGCCAGAATGTCTGAGTATTCCTGTCAGCATCCTGGGTACGTCCCCGCAGCAAGCTAAATACACACACAGCTTCACCTACAAGTGCATTTTTGTTAAACAAATAAATACACTTCCTCATGGGAATCAGCCCAATGTCCCCACAATGTCGCACATTTTCCATCATATTGGGACGCGCAGAGAGCCAAACACTGTCCACAAACACAACCATGGCTAGACATTGATAAGGGCTTCCTAGTAAACTGCAATCCCCCCAGCACTCCTGCCTTGTTTGACTATTTATCATGGCAATTATCAGGGCCATATGACCCCACCTGGACCTGCGGTTACAGACGGACGAGGCAGAGGAGGAGATGGACGGCCGCCACCTTAATCACTTAAAACACACAGGCAGGCCTGGAGGATATGTGCACTAATAGAGCTTCAGCCCTCAGCTGGTCCGCTCACCTGGTTTGAATGCGTGAATGAATTAAGCAGTAATGGGGATGTTTATCGGTTACAGGATTACCGCCACACACTCCATCTCGACAATCAGGTCTGATCCGCTGCTGTAATCACACAGTATAGGGTGCAAGCATGTATAGGTTGCGGGGACATTTTTTATAATCATGCTTATGAGAACATCTGATGTCTGCTTGTGTTGTTTGAGCATTAGGCATGGTATTAATTTGAAGAAGCCACACATATGTGCATGTCCGGTGATTGGTGTAAATGGGGTACAAAGAAAAAAGTAATATGCCAAATTTACTTAATTTTTATTCATTTCCACATGAATGAAATATGCTATTTTGTCTTTCATTTGATTTACTTCAGTTGACCTAATGGATTGCATTTCTTGTGGAAACGATGTATATATTTAAATGAAGTACATTTATTGCATTACTTTTTTCACTGTGCTGATATAACTGACATTGTCTTGAGCACACACTGTCCTGTTTTTGTCCTGAATGGCCTGTGAGGCTCGGACAATGGCACGACTATCAAGTGCCCTCTACTGGTCAGTTAGAGTCACTGTTAGATGGACAGTGGGAGAAGAAGAGAGACATTGTAATCTTCAAGAGCAGTGCATTAAGGATTGAATTATGATGCCGATCCAACATTGTTTTCATAGCTTCATAGAATTTCATTGCAGTTCTTTCATGTAAAACACATGCTAAATAACAAGCCGCAGTTTGTCAATGTGTGCTATTTCCTTCCATCATCAAACTATCACTTAAATTTGTAGAAAATCTGGGTAGTCCTGCTGAGTGGTCCTTTCTTTATTCTTTTTTATGTAGATTGAGTCCCACCCTTTATCATTATTGGCGATTTCACATTTTTGGCATTTTGTTTTGTTGTCAGAGTGTTTTTTAAAATAAATTGCATAACAATGTGGCTGTTTTTTTGGCTGTAATTGATAATATCTCCTTATGTACATAGTGCACAGTGTTTAGTGCAGGGTTACAGTTGTAACTGCAGTTATGAACAGTTGTGCAAGTATTCAAAATCAGAAAAAGGCCTAATGTAGGTCTGAAAGTGTTAATGTTAACAGCTACTGTGTTGTGACGCAGCATATTGTTATAAACCAACGACTCTACTTTCTTTTGGCAAAGATTTTCATATCGCTTTGTCGACGTAGGCACACAGAGTGCTGAGAGTAACGTGTGTATGTATTTGTGTTTGTGCAGTGGTGCGCACAGATAACCTGAAGGGGAGGAGAGGTCGTCTGCCGTCCAAACCAAAGAGTCCGCTCCAGCCCGAGCCATCACCTCCCTCACCCCCCCTCAGCCTGCTCAACGCTCTGGTCAGAGCCTACTCCCAGTCCATACCCCGAGAACTGGACTACAGCCAGGTACCTGTGTGCGCATGTGCATGTGTGAGTGTGTGAAGCTCCGTGCTGCCATTACAACAAGTGTTTGGTAAGAAAAAAGTCAAATGTACACAATTATTTTTACCTCAGATCAGTGATGGCTGAAATATTGTCTATAATTCTACAGTATGATATTGCATTTAGTTTAAGAATTTTTTTTAGTGACACATTTGATAGATAATGAGCATTATAGCCATGATATGATGCATAATACAACATGATTTGTTCACTTTATGCATAGTATCCATCCTGTCAAGTTATGTATGTCATTGACAGGGTGCTTTGAATTGTTTTGAAAGAACAGTTTATACATGCAAATTTTTGCTCACAGGTTCACTTATGACATTTGTGTCAGCTTATGTACCGAAAACACTCATAATTCATTTTTATATTTTCCAACCTCTCCTTATGCCTTAGAATGAAACAGGCTGTTGTTGCTACTTTAAGACTGACATATGCAATGATATCTGATTGTCTTCCCTGTGTTGCTTTGTGCTTTATTCTAAAAGCAGTCAGCACTTTAGCTCCACCCATTCATGCTGAAGTTATAAGGAGTGTTTCAGTCCAGACTGCTTTTTGAATGAGCACAACACAGTGCAGCCAATCATTACATTTATTTATCTGTTATCGTTATTAGTCTTAAAGGCACAAGAACACATAAAAATTAATCTTATTTTTTTGGTACATAATAACTCACAAATGTTAAAAGTGGACCACTAGAGAAAAAAATAAATGAAAAAAAATGTAGGATATTGACAAGAAAATGATAAATTAATTATTGCTACTCTTTGAGGAATCCATTCCTTTTTCCTCTGTCTTCTTCCCACTGCCTAAAAATGTTTGAAATAGCGCATCAGATTTGTTGCGAAGGCTCTACTAAATTAACCCCTTATCAAGCCTCCTATAACCTAAGAAAAGCTCCATTAGTTTACATTGAAGTCCGTGAAGTTAACGAATAATAAGCTATAGTATGCAATAAGCCTGGCATTTTAAAGGGTTAATAAAACATTGAAACATTGTACTCGGTGTGAAAAAACATATTTTAGTGTTGTTAAATGCTTGAAATTGGATATACCTTTTTAAACCATATGTATCTTTTCTTTGAAAGAGAGATGTTTTTTCTTCCTGTTTTCCTCTCTGGCCTTCTCTTTTTATATCCCTGAATCAGTGCTATATTAGTGACTAACTGACACAGTGAATATGTGTTAAATCTCTCTCCGTCTCTGTCTGTCTAGTTCAGCGAAGTAGAGACGGGTGGTCTTGCCGAGGCTCAGCAGATTCAGCTGTTCTACAGGGTGCTGACCGGCTCCATGGAGGTCACACGCTGCTGGGCAGAGCGACTGCCCGGATTTTCAGAGCTTCACCACGACGACCAGAACCTGCTCATAGACTCCGCCTTCTTGGAGCTGTTTGTGCTCCGCCTGGCCAACAGGTAGGTCTTTATCCACCCAGACCCCAAAATGAAACAGCCTCAGGCAGAAAGCGGATATCTGTGACGGTGAATGGTAGTCGTTTTAGAATATTTTTTTCATAACAGCAGCATATTAGTCACAGGCCCAGAGAAATTCTGACCATGTGGTGGGATGAGTTTCTCACGTTGTGTCAAAGCTTCCTTCTGGCTTTACTTAACTGCTTCAAGCTTGACCAAATTCATGGTTCAGATTATACCACATTGCAAAAGTCGGACCGTTCCGAATCAGAATCGTTGAATCAAAAGTTTACATTTTCGACAGACTCCAAATGCTGACCTCATCCCTCTCGTTTCACTGTGAGCTGTAAGGTTGCTATGGTCACTGTGCAGACCACCTCGGCATTCACTTGTTTAAATTTATGGGATATCAGCCCTCCCTAACCCTTTATTCTGTGTGCATGACACACATACAGCTCACACAAACGCACGTCATGTCTCCATTGCAGTTAGACTGTTTTTATAACTGCATGTACGTTCTGCTTTTGTTAACTAATGTAAGGCTTTTTACAGCTTAACTCATGTTGATTTTCGCGTTGCAAGCGCGATTTGTTTGTGTGCAAGTGACTCAGCAGTGTTCTGATGTTGCTTTAACAGGAAGTGATTTTTTTTGTTCAGTTCAGCTGCTCCCTATTTAAGTAGCAATGCAGCCTCCCTCTCTCTCTCGCTCTCTCCCGCTCTCTCTCCCTTTCCCTGTGAGGGAGCAGGTGCAGGGAGGGAGGCCAGTGGGTGGTGGCGTCACAGCCTCAGTAGGGGGCTCCAGGCTGGGGTTCTGACTCACTCTAGCAGGGGGATTCATCCGGGCCTACGTCACACACTCGCTCACCAAACTCACACATGTCCAGACTTTACACAGAGACAAATGTACACCTTCAAACACAAGTCATGAGGTAACCCTTAAACCGTCTTATTACTCAGTTGGTAATTTGAAGATTATTCAGTAAGAACTATAAATTATTCAGTAACTTCTATGAATTATTCAGTAACTACTATTAAGTATTCTTTAAATACTATGAATTATTTAGCAACTACAATGAATTATTTATTAACGGCTCTGAATTATTTAGTAACTATTATGAATTATTTAGTAACTACAACAACATATACAGGGAGATTCACTCAAAAGAGGCCCCAAATATTCTGTTGTAACTCCTGTTAGGATGAAGTAATCTGAAACAAAAAAAATACGCTACATACCTTGACGTATGTGTAATCGATTGCGTTATATGCGATGATGGAAGTGATCTCTGTTTTCTGCCAGACACATGAAGGGGTACGGGGGTGTGCATCCAGAAGTTGCAAACGGAGGTTAAATGTCGTGACGGCTGTCCGGCACCTACCTCATCGCTCCAACGCAGGGGCATCCCGGCTTATACGAAGCTCTATATACTGAGAAGCACATTGCATGTTGTTTCGTTCAGATTGCTTCATCCTAGCGAGAGAATATTCAGGGCCTCTTTCCAGTGAATCTCCCTGTATTATTCATATAATATCTATCCAGTAATTACTATAACTTATTCAGTAACTATGAATAATGAGTAAGTTAAACCAGTTGCATAAAGTAATGAGTAAGCTATGTAGGTATGACAGTGAGGAATTAAAATGTATGCAAATTAAAGGGTGAAGTACTAAGACTTAATGCATTCACAACACCTTCACCACCCATTCACAGTGTCTCACACACACACACACATGCACACACACATGCTCACACACACACACACACACACACACACACACACACGTGTAACCGGTGCACATGGCAAAACCACAGATAGTAAATTAATGAACCGGCTGATGAGTGAGTCGCTCTGACGCAAACATAAATATGTGGTCTTGAAGAACCTTTCCATAGATTCCATAGAGATTCTCTGTCTGCCGCTCATCCCTTTGTCTTTACTGCTTACCAGTAATGTATCTAAACCTTGTGTTTACGTACATTTCCATTAAAAAAGCACATGTTCCTATTATCTGCACCCCAGGGCTTCAGAATTAGAGAGATGAGATTTTAATATTTCTCCTGTTTTCTTTCTCTTTTGCTCTCTTCAGTTTCCTCCTGCTCTCACTTCCTCTCCTGCTGTGTGTAAGAGTGTGTGTGTGTGTTTGGTAATTGTGAGCTAATGAAGAACAGCTCATGAGCAGAAGCCAAGCACTCCACAGGAAAGAAAAATGAGGAGGGTTTTTTTATACCTAAAACTGTAGGGTTGTGAGTGAAGAGGTAGTCAAGAGGAGTGGTGAGAGGAGGAGATGGAGATGAGAGGAGAGGAAAAGAGCAGAGTAGAGGATAACAGAGAAGAGGAGAGTAGAGTAGAAGAGAGGAGAAGAGAAAAGAGGAGAGAAGAGAGGAAGAAGTAGAGTAGAGGAACAGAGGAGATTAAAGTAAGAGAGAGGAGAGCAAAAGAGAAGAAAGGAGAACAGGAGAGAGGAGAAGAGATCAGAGGAGAAGAATAGAGGAAAAGAGAAGAAAGGAGAGGAGAAGAAAAAAGAAGAGCAAAAAAGGAAAAGGGGGAAGAGGAACAAAGAAGAGATGAAGAGAAGAGAGAAAAGAAGAGTAGAGTATTGGAAAAAATAGGAGAGAAAAGAGTAGGAGAGAAAAGAGATGAGAGCAGAAAAATAGAGAAGAGGAGAACAGAGAAGAGGAGAAGTAAAAAGAGTACAGTGGAAGGAAAGAAAAGAGGAGAGAAGAGAGGAAAGGTAGAGAGAAGGGGAGAAGTAAAGAAAGGAGAGGAGAAGATAAGAAAGGAGAAGAGGAGGAAAGAGAAGAGGGGAGAGGAAGAGAAAAGGAGAAGAAAGAAAAGAAGAGTAGAGCGCTGGAGAAGAGAGGAGAGGAAGAGAGAGTAGGGAAGAAAAGAGGAAATGAGGGGAGAAAATACAGAAGAGGAGAAGAGAGGAGGGGAGACAAAAGAAGAACAGAGAAGAGATATAAAAAGAGTACAGTAGAAGAGATGAAAGAGTGGACAAGAAGAGAGATGAGAAGAGAGGAGAGGAAGAGAGAAGAGGAGGGAAAAGAAGGGATGAAATGTGAAAAGAAGATAGAAGAGGAGAACCAAAGACAGTACAGTGGAGAAGAGAGTAGAAATGAGGAGAAGAGAAGGGATGAGAGAATAGTATAGTAGTGGAGAAGAGACGAGAGAAATAGTGAACAGAAGAGAAAAGAAGACACAGGAACAGGTGACAGGAGAAAAGAAGAGAACTAAGAAGAGTACAGTAGACAATAAAAAATGAGAGGAGAAGAAAGGAGAGAAAGGAAGAAAGGAAGGAGATCAACAGAGAAAGAAAAGAGAAAAGAAAAAAAGAAGATCAGAAGAAAAGAGGCAAGGGTCAAGATCGTTTATGTGCTTTCATCTGAATTGGTGCTCCTGTCTGTAATTCAAATGAAACCAAGCCGAGTAGAAACTTCACAACCTCATACGTTCTGTCCCACATCCAGATTGAGAGAGCGAGAGATGGGGGGATGGCGAAGGAGAGAGAGAAATCTCAGGAATGTTTTAAGAGCTTTAATTGGGGGAGCTCAAACGTAATTAAGTCCATTCCGATCTTTTGATGTGCTCTTCCCTACGCTGGCTTTCATTTGTCGCCATGGTAATTTTTTTCGTGTATAACGACTCACATGCAGACTTTTAGCATCCAATCAGGGCTGGGATTTATAGCCGTGGAGATGAGAGAGGGTTAACGCTTGGCATGCGTGTGCCTGTGTATGCGTATATGTGTGTGTGTGTGTGTGTGTGTACGTGCTAATATGGACAGACACGCAGATGCAGAAATGGAAAGCGATATCTTCTCCTTTGGTGGAGGGAAAGACGGAAGTGTGGCGATTAATTAAAAGATGAAAGCCGTTGACTGAACTTCAGCCATCAAATGGCACCTTGAAGCTGAATAAATAATAACAATCCTTGATCAACCTAACCCCTACCTCTCTCTCTCTGTCTTCTCTCTCTCTCAGGTCGTTGTTGGCAGAGGAGAAGTTTATTTTCTGCACAGGGCTGGTACTCCATAGGCTGCAGTGTCTGCGAGGCTTCGGAGAATGGCTCGACTCCATCAGGGACTTCAGCTCCCACCTTCAGAGTCTGAACCTGGACTTACCGGCCTTCTCCTGCCTGTCCGCCCTAGTGCTGCTCACAGGTAACACACGTGCACAAACTGAGTTCATGCTGCTGCAGAGGTGGACAGTCTTGAAAGAGTGTTGGCAAGGCCTGTCACAAACATTAAATTTTAGCTGACAATAAATTGTCATATAAATGATTACGATTAACAGTTTAGTTCTCCTGTTTTGGCCCAAAGTTTTAATACACACTTCTTTGACCCAAGAATAGCTCCACCAGTTTGCACTGAAGTCCAAGCAGTTTCTGAATAATAAGTCTTACTGTCTAATAAGCTGTTGATTTTAAGGGCTTAACCGTATTGCTTTCTAGCTGTCCATACTTAGTAGCTCCAAATGGACAACAGAAATAGCTAAAATAAATAAACATATTACTCAACCTCTGCAGTCTAAGGCTGGCTTTCCACAGTGACACTTTCACACAACTTTAGTTGCTTGAAACCTGCTGTACATTGCGCTTGAGTTACCTAATGTTACGCATCCTGCACATCATTTGAAACTCTGCTGCAACAGTTGCAAACAACTCAACTTCATGAAACAGCTGATCAAAACTCCAGTAACATGTCATGTGGACATGTCAAACAGGATACTTTAAAACGACTGATTTCACTGGATCAATTGACAGCAAAATAAAACGGAAGATGGTTTATTGGATGGTTGAAAAGGACCCCTAACCACAACTAGACTAAGGATTGGTAATTTTTCCATTTTGTCAGCCTTCTGAGCAAGTAATAATAGTAAATAAATGCAAGGTTCTCAAATAGTTGCATTAACTAGCCAGCTAATGCTAACAGCTGGTCAAACAGCTGCTTGAGCCACCTTTCTTTACCTCGCTGTTAAGAAGATTTACGTAGCTGGATACATTTTCTCCACTCTTGATGTCCCCTAATTTTATACAGAGCTCAGATTACTCTGGGATTTAAATGATGAAAGTTATTACAGAAGGTGAGGCCAAGTCGTGGCGCATTATGAACTTGTTGAGCTCTTAGGCCAGGATGAGCGAGACATTTTATTTACTATCCACAATGACCGGCAAACCTATACAGATCTTCAGAGTTTTAACAATGTTAGTGGTAAAATTGTGTTAAAAACAGTTTCTTTGGGGATTATTTGGCCCTGCATATAGTTCTCCACCATAAATAGCTTTTAAAAATATATGTTTTATGCTTAAACACCAACCATCCCAGACATCAGGTCTTAGAACTCTTGATTACACAACAAAACTAAACCCCTCCCCTAATTTCGCACATGAATATCATTTGGGATTATTAACACACTACAACGTTTCATTAGGTTGAATGGGATTTTTGCCAGTGCTCTGCAAAGCTTGTCCAACCTCTCGACAGCAGCTACAAGAGAATGCATTTGTGCGGGCAACATGGGTACGTCAGTTGTGTTGTATGAAGATAATCCTCTCTCCATCCTGGTGTCACGCTCTGACACGTTCTCACCTCTTTTTTTTTACTTTGCTCTCATCTTCCTTTGCTTTCCCATTCTCCCATTCCCTCGTTCACACCTCTTTGTGCGGCTTTGGACGGTTGTCACGGCGATCACAGGTGCGTGGCAGGTGATGCCAGAGATTGGGTTTACTTACACAGAAGAAATAATCCCCTTTTAATCATGGGAAGAGAGAGAGAAAAAAGAGAGAAAGGGAGAGAGAGATGAGCAATGGGTTTTGTGTGCTTTCTATGAGCACAGGTGGGGTTTGTTGGTTATTGGGTGATAAAGTAGGGCAATGTGAAGTTTGTGTGTGTGTGTGTGTGTGTGTTTGTTGTGAGGGTCAGCAGGTGCTTCAGGTTATATGCACATGCATTATTAAGAGCAAGGCTAAACAGTAGGTTGACCTATATTCATAAACACACCACACTCACAAACGGTCATGTTTTGTTATTTTTAAAGATTGACAAAAATGGACATTTCAAACACTTATAGACGGGACTTATTTACAGAAGCAATTACTTCTGTAGAAGAATTTCAAACCTCTTGCCATGTTTGTTGTATGGCAGCACAATGTATTGTTCATTAAAGAAGAAATCTACCAATTGTTCAGTGGCTGAGATCAAACGAAGTCATTCAGAGTGGTTTGATGTGAAAGGGTGCATTGTAGAGAATCTGGAACTGCAACCATGATGTCTACAATGCACATATAGCCATTTTATTCACTATCCAAAATGACCAGTGAACCAATATGTGTCTTCTGGATTTTTTGTGTAATGTTGACAAAACCATGTTTTGGGGACTATTTTGCTTTACAACACCCTGTATGTGTCCCTCTGCCATGAACAGTTTAAAAAAAGTTTCAAGCCAAAGTCTTACCTGTAAAACTCTCTGTCTCAGGTATGTTTTATAATAGTTCTGAGAAAAGATTTTTGGCTTAAAACATATTTTAAAAAACTTGTTGTTTTTGATTCATGGTGGAGAGGTATATGCAGGGCACTGGAAGGCAAAATAGTCTCTAATAAAGGCTTATTTTTTTTCAGATTTACCACTATTTTTCCATTTTTAACATTACATATAAAAGCTCAGATGACACTGGTCATTTTGCACAGTAAATAAAAAGAATATATTTGTGTAGCAGACCACGCAGCCCCTGGTTCTTACAACCACCATTCTAAAGACATCTGAGTTGGTAAACGTACCTAGACTGACACATTTCATAACTAACCACTCTGAAGGACTGTTTATGTCTCGACCACTGAATTATGCTGAAATTTTGTAAAATTGCTGGAATTCCTCTGTGTGTTTCTATTGCTTGGCCATTTTTGTTTAATTTGTAAAAATCATAAAAGCTTGAGGAAAGAGATGTAAGAGATCTGTCTATCCATCCATCCATTTGCCCATTCACCCATCCACAGTTTATTTCCCACCAGAACCTACAGCCTTCAGTCTTCAGCAGAACGTGTGTGTGTGTGTGTGTGTGTGTGTGTGTGTTGGCCTCCATGGAGCAGCACTTAGCTCTGTAGAGGGAGGAATCGACCGCTACTCAGCGGAGCCCAGCTCTCCTCCGCCTTCCCCCATTTCCCTCTCTTTCTCCCTCTCTCTTGTTCTCCGTTCCCCCTCTCCACTCCTCCACTCAATCTATCGACCCTCTAAAAGTGTCCGCAGTGAAAGAGTGCCATCGATCATCCCCTAGAGAGAGAAAGAGAGCAAGAGAGAGAGAGTGAGAGAGAGAGGTAGACAGAGAGACATTGTAGCTACTCAACACCCACAGCGTGAGGATAAATAAAAGCAACACAGAATACACATACACTTGTAAGTGCACTCATGCGCATGCACATACATTAATTTCCAAAACAAACCTTACCCCTTAAACTGCAGGCCTATTCAGTTATTACCCTTAAATAAATACAGACATTTTTCAACCTAACTTCTGTTTGCCACATCTGGACTGTATGTACAAAATACAGTTATAATAGAAGTCAATGGAAAAGTGCTGAAGCCCAACAGCTAAATATAAGATCATTTTTTCAGTATTTTTGTCAGTATTATCAGTTTTTTTATCACCACTTTGAATTATTTTGTTTATATCTTTAGATTTTGTTTACATTTTGAAATCATTTTTAGAAACATAAAATATACAGTACTCTCAAAAGTACATTGCCAAGTCCTTCAGCATGTAATGTGTCCATCCTTTGTTGTTTCAGGAGACTTGGTTTCAGTTTTTTCAAAGATATATGCGGGATATTTTTTTTCACACCTCCAAAGTTCAGTCATAGAAGTTGGTTGTATTTTTTGCTTCTCACAAATCAAGTAATCCCAATTACATTTTTGAGTAATAGTCGTCTTCTCACAGTGGAAGGATAGAGAGAAATATCTCCTGAAAAATGCTTAGAATATTTCTACTTAATTGCTGTTTGGACTGGAAATTAAATAAATGAGGGGTGGTCTGGTTTTGGCACGGTACTGTAGATCTTTGCTGTGCTGCAACCCCCTCAGCACCCCCATTTTCACATTCCTGCCTTGCAATTTACATGGGGTTAAACACTCAACTCTTGGGCGATTTGACAGAAATTTACATAAACACACTCTCATACACAAGCACATACACTCTGAGAAGTGAGAAGTGTGTGGAGTGGGCAGGCTTGAAGGTTGTTATTGACACAGTACCTCCAAAGTGATAGATCTGAAGCTTCACACTAACTCAATGACACAAACAGCTAGGAGGGAGTATGACACAGTTCAAGGCATTTGTCCCTATTGTAACTGTTACATACACGCCACATGTGATTTTACATAACTATCTATAAGTCCATAAGAATTCTTCTTTTTGTGTGTCTATATGTATGTGTTTGGCCAGGAGGCTTGTGTCAGTCTCACATTAGAAGGCTGCTGGTGGTGTTGGGGCTGCGGTGTTGCTATTGGTAACTACATTAGCGTTAATAGCGTTAAGTCCTAATCAAGTTTGCCTGTTCACAGCACCACATAATCCTGCTAATTGTGCTACACATGTTGATGGTAATTGTTTTAGAGAATCGGTTGTAAGAGTGCGTGTCAAGAACCTGCATATTATCGCTGTCGGATCAAAATCTCGTATCTCCAAAATGGTAATTTTTCAGGATGACCCTTGTCAACTAATAACCCTAGCCCATATCTTGTTTGTAGTGGTGAGAAATGGCATTGTGTATTATATGCTACAGATACTCATTCATTCCTTCTTGTCCCTCTGTCTCTGCAGAGCAATGTCCTGGCCTCAAAGAGCCCAAGAAGGTGGAGGAGCTGCAGTCCAAACTCGTCTGCTGCTTGCGGGAACACCTCAGCTCCAGCGGGGCCGGGGGCGTGGCTGCTGCAGGCAAGGCCCCTCCTCCCGTGGCTGCCGTGCTGGGCCTGAGGGCAGAACTCCGGTCTCAGCGCACTCAAGGCCTCCAGAGGATCTTCTACCTGAAGCTGGAGGATTTAGTCCCGCCCCCTCCGCTCATCGACAGGTTCCTGGACACACTGCCCTACTGATGGCTCAAAGACACGCCCATAAAGCTTACAGACACACCCACAAAAGCTCACTGAGACACGCCCATGGCGGCTATGCGGATGCATCACTGAGGGGCGCAGCCTGTTGTCCAGAGAGACTCACGAACTACATTTCCCATGAGTCTCTAGTGTGACTTTGGTGGCACAGGAGCTCTGCCAGAGAAGAGCTTTTTTCACTTTGGCTCTGCATTGGAAAATGTAGATGAATGATTGTGTGGGAGTGTGTGTGTGTATGTTGGGGTGGGGAGCAGAGTTGTTCTTTTGGACTATGGTTCAATGTGTCATGGGAAATGAGCGCGTATGTGTATGTGTGTGTGTTTGAGGGAGAGAGTGTGGAAGGAAGTTTCTTTTTTAGTAAGAAAGCCGACAGAATACTTCACTGTCATTCATCTAGACTATGAGGGCAACAGCTGTTTAATCACACATGCACACACATACCTGCTCTTTTGCGGGAGTGTGGTAAGGGAATACTCCAATATTTTTTTAACCTGATCTGTACTATACGGTGGATTACTACGGACAATAATTCCAATGCGTTTCCTTGTTCTTAGGAAAGAACACACTTTGCTCAAAGACTCAAGACCAGTGACATAGCCAGAATTTCATTTTAGGAGATAGGCTTGAGCTGATTGACGATGGTATTTGTAACTGCTAATAGATTGTATCTATCGCGATGGCTACATGATTCTTGTAATCTGTGTTTCCTTTTAACTTATAGTTCATGTCCTATGTCAGTTCTGATACACTGTCTGGATTCTATAGCAGTACGAGGCAGCACTTTTTGTTACTATGGTCGTGCTAACAAAAAAGATAAAGCTGTGCTGCAGCCTTCCACACCTGGAATATTTTTTTTTTTTTTTGTGAAACATGAACTGAATGACATTATGATTCTGTCAAAGTTGTTAAAAACTAAAAAAATAGAGCCTAATAATAGTAACAGGCTACAATAACATAAGGCTGTTGGCAAACTAGCACAACAAGCTTTAGCCATGTCATTAATTTAATGATTTATAGGCTGTTAGCAAGTGAAAAAGTTACTCTCTTTTTTTAATTTTATCAAATTATCTCCCCAGTTTAGTCAACCCATTAGCTAAGTCTCCCTTTATCATATCATGCTACCAAGCTAGGAGGGCAAAGACTAGCACATGCTTTCTCCAAGACATGCAAAGCACCACTGCATTTTTGCGAACTGTTACGAGCACCCATCATGAGACGGCTCAGTGTGCCTGGAGGGCCTGGTAGGGCCATCCTACTCATCCACAGAGAGCGAGGCCAGTTATGCTCCCTTTGACTCCTGGCCATGGATGGCTGTGGCATGGTCAGGGATCAAACTCACGATCTCCTGATGATAGGGTCAATGTGCCACATGCCACTCACAATACTGTCATCAATCGGTGATGGCTAGGGGCAGTAATCGGACGATGGTATAGTCTCACAAGCCTATTAGGGGGGCAGCTAGGAAGCATTACATCCCAGAGAAATTGCTATAGTGTGGATGATAAGCACCTAGCCAGCTAGCCTACTTAATTCTAGCTACCATAACCAGAGAGAAAAAAACACAATGAATGGTTGCTGACCTAAGTAGTTACTATAGCAGCTGATGGAATGCCATGGCAGGTAAAGGCTATTTAATCAAAAGCCTACCTTTTACAGCACTAGGGGTAGATGTCCGGGATAAATGATTAAAGATTGCGATTTTCTCAATGTTCTTTGTCACATCAAGAAAATCAAAAAAAGATTGCAGCATTGGATGTTGTTTTCTTTATCAGGCTAAACTACTTAGCTAGTTTACTTGCAGGTCAGCTAAGTTCCCACATCTGCAAAAGCAGTAGATCAGGCAACGATGTGTTTACTTGTTGCCGTTGAAAGAAAAGCATTGTTCCTTGCCTTTTTGCAAAGTTTAACTGCAATGTATATGACCAATGGTGGCATGCAGACATGTAAACATTGCCACAGTCTTAGCGATCAGCCAAAATCGTTGATTATCAATGGGCAAAAGAACTCAGCTCTTTATGTTCATCCAGTATTATAAGAGCACATGACAAATTTCATAGGCATCATAGAACTTTTTTCTGTTTAGAAGGCAGAAATCTGAGGCTTGTCCTCTACATGAGAGGGCCTAGGCAGACAACTCCACGGTAGCAACTGCTCTGTTCAGAACACAATTTTCAGATTTACATTTATGGCATTTGGTAGACGTTCTTACCCAGAGCGATTTTAATCATGTTAGGTAGGTGAATGCGGTGTTAGGAGTTGTCAGTACAGCATGCTATGCTTTGCTGGGGGGAAATGAACTGTTACCTGCTGCCCTCCATGTTATAATACTTATAATAGGAGCCAATGGGCAGTTGCTTCAGCATGTGCTTTTCAAGGTTTACTAAATACAGAGAAACACTTATTCTGTACAGAGAAATTATTGTGTATGTTAATCCACCGTATTCTACAGATGCAGCACATAGAAACTAGGTTGAAAAATGCTGGAGTATTCTTTTAAGCATCTCTTAGGTAAGCTTTAGACAAATGAATCAACCATCATCTGGGCAGGCAGATAAAAGTGCATTAAAATTTCTAAACACAGAATCACACTCTGTTTCACCCAAAAACTGCATACAAGTGCAATTTACTAAGTGCTATTTAACAGAAAAACAAAAAACAGATTAGCGAGCAGAGCAGGGAGGAAAGCAATGGAAATAAGGGAGCACGTGGGTTCCATTTCTATTTCAACTCTAAATTATTTTAATACTAAAGACTCGCCCTGTGAGGTGAAGGTTTTAAAACCGAGCAGAAAAGAGATTTTCTCAGACCAGTTCTGCGCACTAACTCATTAATGACCGCGAGTTCCACAAACTTGAAAGGACTGTAGATTTTTTTAATTTTATTTTCTGGTTTCTAAAAAATCAGAGAATTGTAGGGTAGGACTGTAGAACTAAAAAAAAAAATAAGAGCAAGTAAAGGAGAATTCGGGCTACAAGCACTTAAAAGGAGAAAGAGAGAGGGGGGTGGGGCGTGGAGAGAGGGGGGTGGGGTGAGGAGAGAGGGAGGGTATAAAAAAGAGAGATAGGCCAGAAGGAACGAAACATTCCGCGTTCATGTTCATTTTTTTGTAAGTTTATATTGTTAACGCCATTTATTAATATGGAGAACTTGTTGCAAAAAAATGTCTTTTATTTGTACAAAAAGGAAAAAAAAACATTATATGCATGGTTTTCTCTTTCTCGCCTTTCTTGCCTGTATTTATTTTGCAAAGACCGCCGGCTCCTAAAGGGCTTGGACACGTTCATCACCAACTTGGGCTTTTCTTTTTGCTAACGTTGCCCAGTAGGCAACATTTTTGAGACGAGATGGAAGAAGTAAAAATTATATAAATAAATATATATATATATATATATATATATATATATATATATATATATATATATGTATATATATACACAAGACAAAAACTAATATTTTGAAGTGTTTTTATCTGATAGCTTTTTTCAAATCTTGTGGTACGAGTTGTGCATTTGTTTGTTTGTTTGTTTGTTTGTTTTTTCTTTTGGAGAAAGAAACAAGATGGCAAAAAAAGAAAAAAAAATCAATGTCTCTTCTGGTTTGTTTAGATTTCTTTTTTCTCTTTGGTTCACTGGAGGCTCTTTTCAGCACTTTGAAATCATAAAGAAAAGAAAACTGATTTGTTTGGTCTGAAAGCGTCTGGACTTTTGTTGGAGCCTGTGTGCAGTATGTGTGTGTGTGTATGAGCATGTCTTCAGGTATTACTGTCCCCTGAGGTCCAATTATCCTCAACACCCTATGTGGTCCCACACATAACTTACATAACCTCTACATTCCTTTCAGTAACCCCCACTCCAAACCCCATTTGAAGGCTCCCTACATACGTACTTCATAACAGAGGCATAAGCATTCAAAACCACATTTTAAAAACAATACTTGAGTATATCTGAACAATGTAAGATGTTTAATGAAGTTCATTGTGTTGACATAAGGGCCCTTAAATTTAACAGATGGACATTTGTTCCATTTATAAAACTGTTATAAAGCATTCTCCCTGAATAATGGAACCTATTAAGCAGAGGCCAGATTAAGAATAACATATATACATTATTCAACTAACGAGTTTCAAAGTCAGAGTTGAAAACATATATTGGACTTTTGAATGACTTGTTTCGATTGCCCCTATACCTTAATTATATATTTTTTTTGATAAAGCTAGTGATTGAATATTCTATTTTGTTACTAACGAAACAATCATACCGTTACCGAAACTTTACCAAATGTTTCAGTAGTGACTGTTTTCAAACACAGCTTTGAACACACATAAAATATAAATAAAAATATAGAAGATTTTATATTAAAATACAGAAAAGTTACTTAAGTGCAGAAAATATTACACACTGATTTTCAGAATATGAGAGACGTTTACTTCAACACGATCTAACAGGCTAAAATGAGGGTCTGCTTATGGACTGAAACTTTTTGTGTTCCAATAGTGACATAAAAATGTGGGACAATATGTTTTTTCATTTAAAAATTAAACTTATGATAAATCTAAATTTTTCAACATCACTTTAAAAGAAACTATAATGATCTTTAAAAAACAATGAAAGATACTAAATTATTTCTACACGTTGGCATTCAGGGGTTGGGGTTTGGGACAGCCACATCCCAATAGAAAGTGCCCTGTAAACATTGATTTTGTGTATATTTACCTTGTTATACTCATTTAATGCCTTAGGTTTAATATCAAAACTATAGTCATTTGATAACATCATAACATAGTCCTTGTAAACATCTAAGATCTGAATACTTAATTTTTTTTAAATAGTTTTTTTTTTTACTCTGGGACCATAGTTTCATCTAGTTCAGTAGAATGATTAGTGTCTATCAGTTCTATGAAAGATGTTGATCCTCAAACTAGAAAGAATGTATCATTGTTGTTTAAGGGCCTCTTTCACAGGCGCCTTTAATTAGGCCTTTGGGAACTTGGGAACAATGCCTTCAGAACAGTGTCGTACAGTGCCCTTTATAATGTTTGGGTTTTTTCTATTTGCCTCTGCGCTCCACAGTTTTAAATTTGTACTCAAACAATTCACATGTGGTTAAAGTATGCATTCACAGATTTTAATAAAGGGTACATTTCAGTTTTACCATGTAGAAATTTCAGCACTTTGTCATGTATAGCACCGCCATTTTAATGTACCATAATGTTTGCAATATAGCACAGGGATGTATGGTACATTAGTCATGTTTAGTACTTTGTTGCATATCCTTTGCATGCAATGGCTGCTTGAAGTCTGAATCTTATAGACATCACCAGAAGTTGAACTTATCTGCACTGCAGAAAATGAGAAGTCAGCTCAACTTAAAATTAGAAGGTTACTGAGTACATACATATGTATATATGTACAGCATTAATTTTCAAAGTTAAAACAATATTTTTTACAGTATGTTAAATATTTAAGGACATAGAAATCAGAGGAATATCAGGAGCTTGCGAGTGGTGCAACGGACTAAGCATTCATCTCCACCTGGAGGTTTTAAATTTGAACCCCAATGTTACCATAGCCAATCATAACTTGGAGTCCAAAAGGAGAAAATGTCTGGTAGGATTTTCTGATGGAAAGAGTCCCAGTTAGTGGAGAAGCTGAGTGAAAAACATAGGTTTTGTATTGTTTACCTCACTGAAAAATAGATATTTTGAGTAATTTTTGACTAAAATAAGAAGTTTGAGTTGGGGAATGCTAGAGTCCTCAAATTCAACTCAAAAGAACAGTGTAATTAATAACCTCATCATCATCAAGTTGAACTCACTTTCATTTTAACAGTGCAGGTATGTTCTTCAGCTCCTACATGTTTCAGGGTATAGTCCATTTAAAATTTTTCTTCAGCATATGAAAGGCATGCTCAGTGGGATTCAGATCAGGTGACTGACTTAGCCAGTTAAGATTCTTCCAGTTTTTAGCTTTAAAATGAAGCACTGTCCAGTGAGTTGAGCTGATGTTCATGCTTCTGTACACCTCAGAATTCATTTTGCTACTCACATCAGCAGTCACATCATCAGTAAAGATAAATGAGCCAGTACATGTGGCAACAGCCATACAAGCCTAGGCCACAACACTCCCACCACCATGTTTTACAGATGAGGTGGTATGTTTTGGAACTTGTGCAGTTCTTTTTTTTACCACCACACAGCTCTTGCCCTCGCACTGATACAAATTAATCTTGGTCTCATCTGTCCTTTTCCAGAACTCTGCAGGCTCTTATAAGTACTTGCTTAGTAAACTGTAACCTGGCCATCCTGTTTTTGTGGCTAACCAGTGGTTTCCATCTTGCAATGGGGCCCGTTCATGAAATCTATGTATAACAATTGTTGTAATTTCTATACGGTAAAACTAAAACATCACTGTGCAAAGAAAAACATGTATCCCCATTTTTTTTTCATCAATTTTTACTTTCCCACATCATTTGAGCACATCAGTTGTCCTTTACATTTTGTGAAAAATTCATGATGAGTGGACCAATAGAAATGCTCCAAATGTATATATATATATATATATATATATACACACATACACACACATACACAGCAGAACTACTGGAGCTTTTAACCCCATGAAAGGCCAGAACCTACCTAGGGGCCCAAAGTTTTACTACACACTTTTATTACCTAAGAAAAACTCAACCAATTTGCACTGAAGTCCCTCTAATTACTGAAAAATAAGCCTTAGTATGTAATAAGCCTGGGATTGTAAAGGGATAACACAATGTCCACTCACTGTCCACACTACTAGACACACCTACTTTGTTTGTCCACCTTGTATATATAAAGTCAGAGACAGTAGCTTATCTGCTGTTGCACAGTTTGTGTTAGCCATCCACTAGTCCATCATCACTGACCACAAGATGCTGCCCACAGGATGCTATTGGCTGGATATTTTTGGTTGGTGGACTATTCTCAGGGCAGCAGTGACAGTGAGGTGTTTAAATATCCACTTGTACAACACACACTAACTGTGTGTGTTGTACAATAAGCTGTTCATGCAAAGGACAATAAGCTGTTCATGCATACTCTAGCATTGCTTTTTAAATACACTATTCAGTGCTAATACATGCATTACAAAGTCCCTATGAAGGTAGCCTTTAAATTTAATATTGGTTATCAGATCATTCATAACAGTTACTGAACACTTGAGCCTAACAACCAAATAATAAGCTTTCAGTGTTGTAGTGTAGTGTTGAGAGGGATGATGGTTTTGGGGGGATTCCATGAACAAGAGTGATCAGATCAGGGCCTCCAGCCCTTGTTAGGCCCTATCGATCCACACTGTGACATTTCACAGACGAGGTACACACACATACACACACCCACACACACACACACACACACACACACACACACACACACACACACACACACACATACATTACAAGCGCATGCATGCACACTGACACATCTGCTCTTTCTCTGTCTTTCTCCATCTCTGTCTCTGTCTTGATACATCAACAGCAAAGCTTCCCCACCCATGCACACACACAAAAACACACACAGTTGCATGCAAACATTTGGCCAAGTGCATGCTCTCACACACCCACTCAGTAAAATGTCATGGTGTTTTTCATCAGAGGTATCACTAACTATAATAGGCTGTGCATCTTAATGTGTGATCAACAACAATCGCGTGTGTTTAACCCTTTAAAGGGCACACTTAAGATTCAGTTTTCAGGCTTAAGACGCAGCAGGCGTATGCAAAAGTTTAAACACCCCCGGTCAAATCACAAGATTTGTTGATTTTCTAAGTGAAAATAACACATCCCCTGCATCTTCTGCAGTGCTAAATATCACATTCCTCTGCAAATTATAGTGCAAAATTTCTACTTATTTGATAAGTTTAAAATATTGTGTATATATATATATATATATAATATATAACTAAATATATACTTGGAAATGCAGAAGTGCAGCACCCGGACGCTTGACGTGTGCATAACAAAAACACAACTGGATGAGCGAGAAATCCGACCGGCACCCTCCGCATTAAAAGCTAGGTTAGGTCAGGGGTCAGCAACCCAAATGTTAAGAAGAGCCATTTTGTCCTTTCAACAAAAATCAAACCACCTTGGGAGCCACAACATCGTATGTCCAATATGTCTCAGTATGTGCTAATGTCCTAGTATAGGCT